TCATAAAGAACGCTAATCTGACAAAGGAATTTTATTACGCGGCGGTCGTGCGGGACTTATCTCCAAAGCAGGAAAATAATCGAGCAACGCCCATGTGAACATGAATCTGGCTTCCTGTCTTTTTTTATGAGTCCTCTCACGTTGTCCGAGCCGAAACATTCGTTTTGTCGTTCTCGAAAGCAAGCGCTGCCGTGGAAGAAAAACGCGTGGTCGTCGGATTACCACCATTCCCGATCACTGACTCACTCGTGCTGGGAAAAAAAAAATTAATAGTAACGGCACGAGGGATTTTTTTTTTTTCTCACTCGTGAGCACGAACAATTGGGCGATAAGGATTACCGTCGAGAGAAATGCGCGTTATCTGAAACGAACATCATTGGTCCCGCTTATCCTATATCAAACTATGGATCGACCGCGTCGCTTCGATTTTATGACCCGATACCTCCGGAAGCTAATTCCGCGGGCACGTTTCCAGAAGGTGTGCACGTCTCTCAAGGTTGTATCGAGGGACACGGAGACAAAGCCGCCGCTTTCCGTTCGAAAAACTTCGTCATGTTTATGCCAAAGTGGTCGATGCAGATCATCGGTAACTCGACAGCAACGGCGTGTACATGTGACGGGAGAGTCATACCTGTTGCACACCACAAATGTTGGCATATTTTTTGTTTTTTTTTTGCTTGCACACATATTGGAATTTTGACATCCAACATTATTAAGGATTAGAAACCAGTTAACTTAAGAGATTCCTGCTTTTAATTTTATTTGTTTTCGTTTTTTTGTACTTTTACAAACATGCGCTCTAACACGAAAACAGCTCATATACGTCGATCGATCAATATGTTGCTCGCTCGGTGGTGAAACCTTAACTTGGAAAATACCCTCTACTGTTTGTCATTTAGTAATATTTCCGATGATGGTATTTCGTGTGTAGGACTTATCCCGATGACGCTGCATTCCCAAAGAAGACTTCCAAGTTCGTCTGCTTCGTGCGCTCGTTTACTCACCAAACGCGACCAGGTGCATTTGTTTCCCCTTCCCCCCCCCCCCCCCGCCCCCCCCCCCCCCCCCCCCCCCCCCGACGTCAACAATGGCGGCACGCAGCTGCCCCGTTATTGCACGTTCCCTGAGTGTCTTCTATTTCGCCCAATGATTGGCTCGCCCCTTATGGCGTCCCGATGCGCCCAAGACGTATCTTGGAACGCTTACCTCGCCGTATAGTCCCCTGACAGCTAAGCAACGTGGCTATTACGATCACGCTTCTTGCATCGTGCTCTTTTATGTTCTTCTCGGTTGATGCCGCAATCCTACACGGAGCGCAAGTTCGTCTGCTTCCTTTGCAGGGGTTGTGGTAACGTCAGAAAAACGTCGAGCTTTGATTGGCTTTGATGGAAAGGACAATGGGTAGGCCTGAATGCTGGATGCCTTGAGCTCTACCCACTATTTTGTTCAATCGGCCATTGAGAGCTCGGCGCTCTGACATCATCGCAACCCCTCTGCAAGAAGCAGACGAATTTGCGCTCCGTATTAGCTGCGGAGCGATCATGCCCCCCCCCCCCCCCCCCATATCTTTTATTACCACAGACAACTGAAGAAACTTAGGGCGTGGCTTCTCTTACGCTCGCGTTTCCTCGCTTCGTTCTTATGGTTGAATGCGCAGTCTGATTGGCCGAATAGCGAGATGTTCTCTAGCCGCCACGCCCCGCATTTCTTAAAATGTCAGGAACGGTAGCGTCACCGACAGCTTAAGAAACGCCTGGCGTTTCTCAAGCTGCCTTTGGTATTCGAGTCACCGAACGTAGAAGGATATATTTATTTCTAATGCTTACGCGATAATCGACTTTCGCTCGTTTTCCTGCACAATAAGATTGGCATTCCGAGTCCCTTATTTAACCATTTTTATGCGCTGAAATGGCGTTCTACCGACAGATCCTGATTTCTTTTAAATCAACTGAGAAATAAGCCGGCGATGGAGATCTCACGCATACACACTTATATAATGCAAAAATAGTACCGTTTTTATTTTGTGTGTGTGTGTGTGTGAACAAAAGTAGAGACAATGTAACGTGCACTAAGCATTTCGATAGTTAATAGTAACTGTAATGCGCTATTATATTTTGAGCGTAAGGAAGGGCGATCGCATGTTCTCGTTATAATCCCCTCAAGTCTTAGCGCACCATGCATGATCCTTGGTAGCCAATCAGGCAGCGGAAAAAGTGCATCGCCACGGCGCGTGCGACGCCTTTCGCTATAAGCTGTTTTAGACGAATCACGCACAAAAGAAAAGTACAGTACGACGGAGCATTCGCCGTTCCTGGTTGCTTTAGCCGGAGATCAAATGTACAAGGACCACAAGGAACGGGACGATACGCTTTGAACGCTGCTTGATTCACTCCCTCGTGGTCCTCTGCGGTCCGGCTTCGAGTGAAATGGAGTTGTCGAGACCGGTTATTACGAAGTCGGTTATAACAAAATAGCGGATATAGCGAAGTGATTTTCGATTCCCGTTGACTTTGCTATAACCGGTCTCGTCGATAGTTGCAAAAACGAATGATAGGCTTCGTTACCTTCTTCTGTAATATTAAATCCATTAAAAAATGAAGCATGCATACATTTCACTCTGGCTTGCGAAATCGCTTCCGTGTTTGTACGTGAGTACACGCAGTCCGGCATAGAATATAACAAATCGGAAGTATTGACCTACGCAAAACTAAATGGATACTATTGATAAGGGTAATGTTTTTTTGTGTTTTTTTTTTTATAACTCGATGTAAAATATACGAGCATAAAGTTTATGCCAGTAAGCATCGAACGAAATTATCCATTTTTACGCGATAATAATAACTCGATTAAATTTCGAGAGACCTCAAAGAACACTGAACGGTCAACCCTCGTGTTTAAAAACGTGCGAATACAAAACAGGCGTGAAGGGAACATCAATGAATTCGGTAATACGGGCGTGCGAGAGGAGAGAAACACAATCTGGTACTCCTAACATTTTAGGGAGTTCAAAAAGCGCCTATACTAACGCCGACAACGATGCTTTTGTGCAAATTGACTGGCGAAGTAAATATCCAAGACGAGTGCCGTAATCCTGCCTTCCGCGAGCTCTATAATGGCCGGATCTCATTGAATCATCCCGAGACAAACATTGTTGCTTATCGCTAAGCTTGCTAACAAGTTCGACCGTTGACTAACTCACAGGGCTCATAGTCATAGAGCATCCAAAAGACACGTTTGGTCGCTCCATAAATTACGAAAATATTTTCCCCGCACTTTGCTTCCTACACCTGCTTGTTTCGGGCATGCAGGCAGACAATATTTGTATGACCAATGGAACGGAACCATTACGCAAGGAAGAAACAAATACTCTCTGCAGATTGCGTTTCGTATGATGTATTAGCGTCTGACCGCGGTTTCAGCTTCCCGTAAACTGCAAGCTTCTAGTAAAACTTGGGTTTGGGCTAGTTGGGCCATTACTGAATAAGAGGTTATATAGGTGACGATGGCGTTAATAAAGAAACAGCTGAGAGTGAAGCGCCTGTCCTGTCGTTCGCGTTTTCTTCGTTATCCCCGTTTGTTCGCGCTTTTTAACCTTTTATACAATCCAAGCTTTTCCATTCGCGATCCGTTTGTTGACGACTTACGTACGGTCTTACGAGTCATCTGTAACACGAGGGGTGGATACAAAAGTCCATTGCTTGCCCTGATTTCTCGCCCCGTAATATAAACTCGCGTTAATTTTGATACATCCGTTCAGTAAAAATAATAATAATAATAATAATAATAAAACATCCTGTGAGTTATTTATAATAACGAGATCTTGTCAATATAGCGGGGTATTGATATTAAGGCGATAGACATTGGAGATACATGGCAATAAAAGTCTGACAAGATGTGACTTGCAATTACTATGCACCAGGCATTTTACTGCCTATTATAGGGACTTCAAGGGCGCGTTTCAAACCTCCAAACTTACAAGAACACTCGCAAAAAAAAAAAAAAAAAAAGGGGGGGGGGGCAAAAGAAAAAAAAAAGAGAGATGTGAAAAGGCAGTATGATTTGTTTGTTATCATTAGCTGCTTGCTCGAGCAACATTCTCTTGTGCGCAGCAAACGAATGCCGCCGTTGAGCGAGTCGCTCAATATTCCTACCTAACGAAAATTAGTCACTCGTAACAATAACTTCGGTATTGGTAACAGCAAATAAAAATCGGTTGTCGATATTTTCTTCTACACACTAACGTACCACGACTCGGCTGGTCGTTGAGGGGCCGGTAAACGTGCGCGGATGAGCACTCCGGGCATAATAATAGCTATCAATTTATTTAAAACATTGTGTTCTTTGTCTATTTGAGGTAGAAGGCGGTGTGCCGGTTGTGATAGGTTTTCCTACCCCCATTATTCAATAAAGCTGCGAGGCACTCTAAGGAGAGGTTCTATGGCGGTCGGTCTGCGAGTCCTTTGGACGAAGTTCACGGCAACGTCCGTAACGCAGCCGAGCACCGGATCCATCAGGTGAATGATTGCGATGCGTGCTCGTGATAGGGATGTGCCTTCTCGCTGGCGCGGCGCCGACGCTGCTCGTCCGAAGCTCGCCTCGTGCCCTCTGCCCATCTGCGTCGTCCGAGAAGCCTATCGCCCGCCGTCATCCACGTAGCGTCGGCAACGCAAAGCCACGCCTTTCTCGCTTCGGGAGCGAGCGCGAGGAAGCAGGCCGAAAGCCGCTGATCAAAGCGGGCCCCCAGCACACAAAAGCCGCCACGGTTAGATGCGAGGACGAGGAGGAACTGGAAAGCGTGCAGCGCGCAGCGCTAAACGAAGAAGAAAAAAAGCGCGCTGGAGGGAGCGGTCAAGGCGAGCGAATTCAAAACCGAAACTCCTCCCCTGCCGCATCGGCTGGGCCGTCCCGCCAGCCCTTTTCGGCGAGCACGCGGGCGCAACACCCCTCAGGTAATGCCCTGCCTGGCCTCCAGATGGCGCCACGGTGTGCGCATGCGCAACGATAGCAGCGCCGCCGCTGCCGCTTCCAGAGCTTCGCGCAGCGGCCGCTCTCCCGTCGTCCCGACTCGCGCGTGCGTAGCAGACGAAAAGAGATCGCGAGCTCGCCCAGCGAAACGTTGCGCGCTGCGTTGTCTCGTTTTAGTTTCGGTTTCGAAACGGAGGAGGCTACCGAGGTGCTGCTCCCCGATGTGTTCGTGTGTCATCTTGTGCCGCTTCGCGCGTCGTGGTTCTTGTGACTGTGCGAGTGAGGAGTGCTGCGGAGGATGCTCAGTGTTGCATGGCTAACATCTCCGCAGATAAACCGGCGAGCACGAGCAGTGGAGCCGGTGGTGGCGGCGGCGGCGTGACGACGGCGAGCCGACGGAAACGCTCGTCGACGGCGTCGCAGCTCCCGGTGAACGGGACGGCGCTGTTGACGCACCCTGCCAACGACATCAAGGTGGAACGGCTGTCGCCGGAGTCCGACACCGCGTCGCCGCAGTCGTCGCCGTCTCCGGCCCGGGTGTTCCCACCGGGCCTGGGGTTCGTGCTCGGGCTGCGGCCGGGCCTGGTGCCGGGGCACCCGTTCCCGCCCGGGGTTACGGCCGCGGCCGCCGCCCAGGCCGCGGTGGACAGACTCACACTCGCCGCGCCGGCGCTCAAGCAGATGGAGATGATGACCAGGAACTACTCGGACTTCATGCGGTCGCTGGCCGCCAAGTACAACAACCCCACTGGACAGGACGGGTGAGTGCTCTCAGCTGGACACTCGCGCTCGGGGTCCATCGATTGGTCGATTTCTTAAGAAATACGAGTTAAACATTCTACGCGTAAAGAAGTAACACTGTTGGCACGAATGTGTATTGTGTGCGTGGCCAAACCTATGTGTTTGAGTTTCACATTCAGTTTTGTACGCTTCAGTAAATAATTTTTGTGAAGGCTCCCCGGTTTACCTCTTTTTCGGTGTTACGCCTCCCTTTTCTTGGTTAAATTTCAGGAGAAAAAGCTATAATGTCTTTCGTGCAAGCTGCCATTCGTCTGCAACAAGCCTAGCATTTCAGTTGTAAACTTGGTGGGATCCAACTTCCGTTGACTCCGAAGCGCCCCGACATATTTTGACCCGACATTCGTTCACGTTCGATGCAGTACCGAGCGCATATATCATAAAATTAGTTCCTTAATATTTGGGGGCACGCAACGGGCAATGTCAGTCTATCTTGTTCATTTTTTCAACTCAAAGCCGCGATGGATATTCTACCAGTCTCGCATGGCCCGTAAAACAGCCCGGCATACTCAGTTTCATGAGAGACACTTGAAAGTGTGTCCATGTTTCCTTTTAAAGAAAATTAGCATGGAAATGCGGATGAAAAATACTTAGTTACCTTCAGGTGTCGACGCTTCGACCATAATCTTGACAATGATGCTGAGCTCACACTATTAGCCTGCCATCTCTATACGTTCACACTGGTTTGAACTGCGTGGAACATGCATTCTTCACAAAGTTTTCCTTGGATGCGTGATCTTGACCTGCTAAGGAAAATCATAGCACAACCCATTTTGTTACCCTAATTACGGATAGTGTGAAATAAAATGATAAAAATCATTCGCTCCTCGTGTCCTCCCGCGCTATTTCTGACGTTAATACTTTGTACACATTGACAGAAAGCGGTATTAACATCATTTCTACCATTACTGCTGCCGCTACTACGAGTAGGAGTAGGAGTACCGCTAGTAATATACATAAACCATTAGCGCAAAGACAACTTTTTTGCTCCGATGTGTTACATTCTTCCAGCACAAGCTTCTAAATTTGATTAAAAACACAAAGACAACTTTTTTGCTCCAACGCGTTACATTCTTGCAGCACAACCTTCTAAATTTGATTCAAAAGTATCCATCAACGGCATTCAGCCTTACCACAGTGATTTTTGAGCTTGTTGCGTAAGAATTATATCGTTCAGACGCTCGTAGTGGCTTACCTGATGGCGGTCTCAGCGTTACCAGGTACGCCTTTTTTGGAGATCACGCCGGATCAACAAAATAGTTGTGTATATATATGTTTCTTAATACTCAATTTAGCTCAGTCTTCATTCGGGGTCGAAAACGAAAGTATCATATGCATTTCGGTTTATGGACGCATAGCTCTTTGGCGCTTCGTTTAGTAACAAAAATACCTTAGCACCTGGACGATGGAGCTGAGGGCCATTTCAGGATCTTGGAAACTTGGTAAAAAGTATTTTCCTGCTCTTTAACGTGATCTTAGCGAGATTAAATGGGCCCTGTTTGACGTGGCAGTGTCTTTCGGTGACGTTCTTGGAGAGCAAAAGCCGGAAAAATAATTCTGCTCACTTAAAGTCCGGCCGTAGGAAATAAAAAAAAAAAATGACAAAGTGCTACCACCGGATGTACCAACCACGTAGAGGAAAAAAGCGCAGGATCGTGGTAAATTCATTCTTCGTGATTGGTTAAGTCGTTGATAGGAAACGCAGAAAGGCGATGAATGCTATGGCGATGCGCTTTTGGTCGCTGCTAGATTGATTCCATCCGATTGTAGCGTCGACGGCGGTCGGACACAAAGTAAAACGCAGCATCGTATCATCCTGGGATTAGCTTTTCCGTCGTGCGGGTGTCATTGAGAAGCGAAAAGATAAGTCGGAATAGTTCCCCAACTTTCATCACCAGACGCCTGCGATTGCTGCGCGCCTGTCTGAGCATCGCTTAATCGCCTTCTGAGACCTGACCCGAGCACTCTTTAAAATCGGTGCTGAGACCGGGCGAGCCTTAAGAATGAACTCCTTGGTGCCATCGCGGTGCCTTTCTCTGCAAAACGGAAAAAAAATGACAACTGAGCGGGCATTGAGGCACCCCTATAGGAACACTAAGGAACACAATTGGATCGACGGACAAGGACGAGTAGAATAGGTGAGCGCGACAGACGCTATGTTTATCCAACTACCCTAATGATTCATTTTGGTGCAGAAGCCAGTATCTAAACCACAGCCTTATGTCATTCGTGACCTACGACGGTCATGTATTCCTCGGGGTTTAGGGAACGACACCTCTATATATTTATTCCTTCGAACGATATTTCTTATGTATTCAGAGAATCGTCGTTCTTGTCTGTATTGCTGCGGTCTTTTATTTACAGCGTTCAACCGTGGTTTAGCTTAAGAGCTATAACCGCGTGTTGAACGATCATTTCTTTCTCACCCTTCTCTCTGTTACCAGCGACACATGTTTTTCATTCTGTATTTTTTCATCGAATGCCCTCTTACACCCACCGTCGTCTTTCTTGGCATAAACAACCGACTGTGTGAACCCCCCCACGCCCCGAAGCAAAAATAATCCAAGTAAGAAAAACAACACCTATGTGTTCCCTCGTGCACTAATTGCTCGGAGCAAACGGCGGCGCCGTCGTCGAGCACTTGCCTTTGGGGGAAACTTATTCCAATCGATTCGACAAAACGGGGCAGAACATCTCTTTCCACTTCGCTCCCTCCTTCCCTCCTTCCGTTTTCGCGCCAGCCTACTCCAGTCCATTTCCAAATCGAACTTGATTATCATGCAGTTCGGCTCACAAAACCTTGATGCCGCAAAAAAAGGCAACAAGAAAACAACAAAACGAGATGTGCACGCTATTTCGAGATAAGCAGGCACACGACGCGACAGTGGCGCACGAACTTCAAAGGGAGGACGAGAGATAGCCGGGGTGGAAAGCGTACGCACAAAACGCGTACGCACGCACGCACAACCCAATATTCGTCCGACCGGGGCCGCCAGCCAATCCATAAAATTCGCATTCGCTCCTTTTTGCCCAGACCTCTCTGCCTGCAGAGCGAGCCTCAGAACAGATGCCGAGTTGGAAAAATCGATTCCAATGACTCGGGTCTTCTTCTTCTCCCTCTCCCCGGTTTTTGTCTCTTTTTTTTTTTCTCAGCTCTTTTCTCGCTTTATCCCAATTCGTCCGCAGCCGTTCCCTACTTGTATTGTTTGTTTTTTTTTTTGTTTTTTTTCGTGTTTTATTTGTTAGGATTTACCGTATTTCACGTACAAGCGCTCAGGCGCATATGCAATTAGGAACTTTTATATATTTCTATCCATGTCGTCACCTCTCGCCCGTTCCAAGTTCGAAGACGATAATAATGATCAGCCCTTCAAAACTGTATCGAGTACCATTTTATGTATTTTTGTATTGTTAAAACATATCTGAGTGTCCGATCCCCCCCCCCCCCCCCCCCTTTTTTTTTTCCGGGGCCCCACAGAAAAAAAGAGCGAAAATTAAAACCGCAGCGTGGTCCGCAAAGTCCAGTTAGCCAAACTTGGCGCACATACTGCACGTTACAACAAGAACGCATCGATCTAGAACCGTAACTGCGCTCTCGCGTGCGAAAAACCATTACCTCGGCGGAGCTGGACGTAAGGATAAAACAGCATCACGCCGCATTCAAATGCTGCACAACCTCCCCTCCGCCCGAAACGCCGAGACCAGACACGGACCCCAGCGCCACCTGTGGGACGAGGCCCCAACTAAAGCGGTAGGCGCGAGATCCGAGAGCGAGGACGGGAGCAGTTTTCCCCGCCCTTCCCGTGTTATCGGAACAACCGTTGTTTCGTCGTATTTATTTATTCTTTTAATAGTCTTTTTTCCCGACAGTTGTCACGTCGCGGTTGCAACCCTAGAAAGAAGAACCCGAGGGGGAGCCTGCGAACAAAGGCAGGCTTTGGACGAGAGCGAAGGGGAGCGCAGCGGAAAAGACACGAGGCAAAGTAAAACAAGTGGTTGACGTCGGGCGCAGTTTCGATTTGCGTTACCAATGGCAACGCCAGACAATTCGCCCCCGGGCTACGAAGGCCCCTTTCTTTTTACTTCGTCGTTTGCTTTCCCGCCTTGGGGCTATACGACAATGCTCCTGTTTACTGCGGCGATAGGTCGGTGCGTGAGTTATGCTGACGTCACTGCCTTTTCCCCATCGATCTCGCGCGTCTCTCTCCTCGGAGGGCCGAGGGATGGAAGCGGGCTCTGCTGAAGTGCGTGGTGGATACCAGGCCCGCAGCGAAGGGTTCTCCGGATTCTGCGGTTCTCCGTTTGCATTGTCAGTTTTGCGCGTTATCTCATGACAGGTTACAAAACGCAGTGGCGTCCTGTTCGCTGCTTCGCGGCTGATTTCGCGTTTTGCTTGTCGGGGAAAGGCTGCGAGCTACAGGGGCTGTACAATTCGCTTTTTAATTACGTTCTGAATGCACGTACTGGTAGTAAGATGCAGTGAAGTTACTTTCCCACTCACGTATCTATCTACATCTAAAGCGTGTTTCACATGCACCGATTTTGGCCCTAGAGCGGCGCGATTTCTGCCGTCGCGGCGCTCGTGCCGCTCAACCGCTGGTGCTGGCCAGAGCGCCGCGACGGCAGAAATCGCGCCGCTCTAGGGCCGAAACCGCTGCATGGGAAACACGCTTCAGGCTCCTCACCAAATTGTTCAAGCCCGCCTAGGCGGGCTGCGATTGCTCACGAAAGGTTTAAGTTATGCATTTAAAATAGCGTACTCACCTTTTATTTGACGCTCCGCTTTCTTAAATATATATATATATATATGTGGAGGCGATTGGGAAGACACCGAGCAGATATTATAGAGTTTTAGCAGAATGTATTCTGCGGAAAGCGGGCCCAGCGTGCGCCTGCTCAGTCCAATGCTTGATATCAGTGAAGGCGCGATCTCCCGTTAGCAAAGCGAAGCAATTAGCGATGT